GGCTCCCGTTCTCGCAATCACGCGAAAGGTTGGCACGGCGATCACTGTTCTTTTAAAGGGTCCTTAAAGCCACGAGTCAGGCTCAGTGGACCAAACCAATCACTTTAGTCGTCTATGTGCATGGCTACGCACCAACAGGGACGTTGCCATGCTCAGAATCTCAAAAGGCGCCGTAATAACGCCCCAGGGCATGCATTAAGCGCTCGCGCCGCCTGGAGGCGCTCCGGCCGCCCACCATGGGATGTGGTGCGTGGCTGGCCTAACGTGTGAGATCAGCTGAGTTGATTGCCGTATCAACCGATGGAACGGCTGGCATATCCAGAAAACTCGTTTGGACGTGACTCTCCCCCGAGCAAATCTCCTTCACTGCTAGAAGGAATGGGTTTCTATTTAGGTGTTGTCGACAGTTTTTTTTTTCGTTTTTTCTTCACTATCGTTCCACCTCCCATCTCTAAACTCAATATCAGGTGCCATAATGCCGAAACACGAGCCTGACTTTTGCCTTTTAAACTAAGCCAATTAGAACTCGATGATGAACATCCAGAGCTTGTCGTTGTTCCATATCTACAGGAATCCAGAAAAGATTGTTAACCGTATTGGAGCCTTGACTTAATTTTTTCGCAAATATGACTGCTTGACGATTCCTGGTCCCTTTTTGCTCCAATTTTACCCTTTTTCGAAATCCAACTGTCTTTTTCATCTTGTGGGAACATTAAGGTGAAAGCCTGATTACTGCAAATCAGTTTCATGAAGCAAAAATGAATTTCAACGGAGAAACACGGGGTGGCTGTATCATTTTTGAACATAGGAAAATCGACCTCTTCCTGAAAAAATAAGCACAAAATTTTTCAATGTTTTCGACATGGATTTTTGTGTTCGTATCTGAACTCGCCATGAAATTTGTCACATTTCCTATCTGGACAGATTCCCAGAAACTCTATGAACTTTAAGTTTTCGAACAAATTTTAGGTGGCTGTATCATTATTGAAACAGTGTATAACAACAGTTGAGTACTTTCGCACGCGACCCGGCTTCACATGTTGCGGACCTTAAGCAATTTGCACTCTGTATGTTATTCGCCCTATGCATCCTCCCCTAGAATTCTTCTTTGGCCTATAAAGATACTAAATGAGATCAGAGATTTTCACTTCGTAATTAGTAGGTATGAAATACTGTTGAGTACATTGTATTGTGAGTACGGTATTTTTGCTATTCAATATTTTGCTCGAAAATAATTGTGAAATTCAGCAGGATCATCGCTTCTTGTCTGCACCAAACACTTCGTTGCCTCCAATACCGGCCAGAGTTTGATAGTTCGGGTCGAACGTGCCTGCCTTTGCACCCTTTAATGAAGAAGTTTTTTGAAAGTGAGACGACAGCAAGATAACGACTTGCACGTGAACATACGAGGTTTGCTGGTGCTTTCGGTGCTGCAGGCTTGCCGCCACCTCCTCCCTTTTTGTCAGCACCAAATACATCACCACCGAGTCCAGCCAAAGTTTGATAATTGGGATCAAATGTTGCGGCTTTGGCGCCCTAAATATGGTGAAGAACTAATTAATTGAAAACTAGCTAGCGATCCAAGCAAAAGGTTCAAAACTAAGATGAGAAATCCCACAAACCTGATTCGCAGGAGCTTTAGGCTTTCCTCCTCCCCCTCCACCACCACCTCCAGCCGCCTTCTTGTCCGCTCCAAATACATCGCCACCAACTCAGCCAAAGTTTGTAGTTCGGATCGAAGGTGCCTGCTTTTGCTTGCTAGAAAGTCGGTATGGATAAGGGAAACAGGGAAATTTCCTTTTTTCCCATTTTTTGTGTCCCGTTCGAGGCTTACATCACTAGAGTCAAACTCGACTGCTAGGAAAATAAACGGAATGAAGGATTAGCATTTCTGGGCTTCTCTTCGTTATGAGCCACGCTTCAATCCACGGATTGTAGGGCAAAAATTACAGTAACAACAATTGGTCAGAAGCAATACATTGCCAAGAACGCCAAACTAACAACAGGCGCGCAAAATATGAAGTTGTCAAACAGAAAATACTAATCATACTAATACTGCTCTTTGGAGTTGACGTTATCTGTGTCGATAAATAAACGAAGCTTCCTAGAAAGTCATCGACTCTGTTGTGTAGGTGGATGTTGTCGAATAGATTCAAGGCTTCCAAAGCGACTGCTCAACTAATCGATGTTCCTATTATGCTTGTATCAATGCTCTGCCTTCGACACAATTCAGAGCACCCCACAGGACTTGATTTGCGAGAGCTATGTTGTCACTTCTCTAACATCGTGAATGCCGCGATATTCTGTTGGCATCGATTTTTGGTCAATCTGCATTGCGAGTGGAGAGAGTACTCAATGCACAGATTGACCAAAACGCCTAGCCGGGTTCAAGAGCACTTTCCTTTTAAAACATCAACGAAACGGAGATAGAGTTCGAGACGTTTTGGACTATTGTTTTGCACCTTGATCAGCAGAGGTCTGAGGAGTCTTGTCAAATCGTGATCCCTGCTCTCACGATTTCTGCAAAAACCATCACCTGAATGGCTGTTGGCTTTTCACCAGCATCTAAGGTCGCGCTCTCGTATTCGAGACAAGGGCCCACCGCAGAATATGTTCTCGACAGGAGAAAACCATCAATAAAGAAATCCTCATTACGGAAATAAGGACAGTCTCCAGCATCTTTGAATTTCTGTTCACTACACGCATCTCCGTTAGATGTATGTATTCTCATACTTGTAAAACCCTTCGTAAATACTGCAAACAAATTGTAAAAAGAGCAGCGCTTGAAAGCAGTTTCAGCGACCAAACGACAGAATGCGCGAGCTGGCTTCCAGCGTTTCTTAGCACGTATCTTCGATTTTACTCGTGAAATCGCACAAGTAATCCTTTCAAATCAAAGCTAATTGATGCTGGTAGACAGTCTAGTAAATTTTGGAATGGTGATCGACGAAACTTTTAAGGTGATTCTGAATCGTCTTGCACTGCAATACCATCCACTCTCTTCGGTAGCAATAGTGAGCGTTCTCTCGAGGCCAGTAAAAGGATATATCCATCTCCAGAGTTGTATATTCGTAGTGAGGAAATCAAAGATGGCACCCAGTGCTACCAAAACATACATAGAATGCGCATCAAAAACTCCTAGTGTTCTAACTCAAAAGTTGACAGCCTCAACCTCTTGTTACCGTATTTTTTGCCCAGACTGTACATAGCGAAGTATGGAAGGACACCAATGTACAAGTCTCTAATATACAGGGGGGGGGCAAAAAAAAAAAGACATTTTGCCTATGTCGGACTTCGGCTCTTTTTTCTTCGCAGAGATTGCTGTCGTTGACGGGAGTTCCTCAGCAGAGTATTCCCTAAGTGTTCCTCTATTAGTGTACGCAGGCTCTCCTTCACTGCCCTCACCGTCTTCAGAATATGACGTCATCTGTCACCGTCGTCAGGCTCAAGGAGGTCTACCGTAAGAGCTTCAGCCTGAAGCTCTTACGCAATTTCGTGAATCGATTTAATGTTGGATAGTTTTCTAGAGGCATTAGCTACCACTGTGCAAATCCCCTCGGAACTAGCTTTCCAGTAAGGGTCGTTATGGTACACGATCCTTCGAAGACCCCATTGAGATCGACCAGTGCACCATGTTTCCAGGGCTAATTCTTCTGATGCCGTCCACGTACGTGGCCACTATGAAGATTTTCTTATAGAATGGAATGCACTCTTTAATAATAAGTTGGAACCGTTCGGTCTGAGTTGAGTAAAATGTGCTTAAATCCATCTGGAAGTGGAGGCAAAATGTCTTTTTTTTTTGCCCCCCCCCCCTGTATATATTACCATGCAAGGTCCGAATAGCAATAAGCCGGAATGGCAAGATGAGCTTCTGTTCCAGTGGAATCACAAGGTTTGTATTTGTCCATCTCGTGGTAAAAGCGGTGGCACCTGCCTATTGCTGCCAATTTCAGCCTCTTTTTCCTGCCAACATAGTATAATTACCCAACTGAAAGCTTCGGTAAGTGAAGCCAAAGGTGTTTTCAAGCTACTGACGATGATATGCATTAAAACCATATTTAAATAGCATTTCTAGGACGCAATGTTTCAAAAGATCCATGATCTGCCGGAAAGGGGTGGCTTCTGGAAGCAGAAGAAGGAAGAACAGCTTCACCTGGTTTGCAGGTGCTACAGGCTTCCTCCACCTCCGCCACCTCCACCACCACCTCCTTTCTTGTCTGCTCCGAATACACGTCGCCACCAATACCAGCCAAAGTTTGGTAGTTTGGGTCATAGGTACCGGCTTTTGCACCCTGAAACATCGGCGTAAATTGAGCCACACAAACAAGATTGTGCAGCCAGAGCTGTGCGTCTTAGCAGTCTCGGCTTCGCAAAACCACTTACGCATTGGAATTCCTCTAAAAATTTCTAAGAACCGTTGGGACTACTCCACTTTTGCTGCTCAAAAATCTCAAAATTTATTTTTCTTCGAAACTTTGTATAGGGGTAATTAGATGCCCTGATTACCCATACGACATTTATTTTTGATTCTGGCGCTAGTTCGCGCCAATTAAGTCACCTAGTCACGACAGCTGTTTTCACGACATTCGTTGCAAACTTTCGTAATAGCGTGTTATTTGGCTGATTACGAATATGCACTCCTTTTAGGGAATATGCGCTATCTACGCGATTATTTTCCACTTCTTGCGGGCTTTCTCAGTTGTACATTGTGCTCAAGACTAAGCTTATTGGAGAAGGAGAACTTTGAGGTGGTAAACTACGCCAACATGTGACAAAAGTTGAATTTGATGTCAGTGAGTGGCTCATCTCACCCCTGAGGCCTCTTTCCCAATGGACTTCAATCTGATAGGATCAACCCCGCGCGAGGACGCAGACGAGCAGACCAGTTGGTGCAAGAGTCAAAAATAAATGTCACATTTGTAATCAGGACACTAAATAACCCCTATGTACAAGTTTACACAGAATTTTGTGAAAACAGCCAAGGTGGCGTCAACTGGCACTAAATAGCGCTAGCATCAAAATGAAGGTCTATTTAAATGTTGTAATTGTAAATTGTTTTATTCAGTTGTATCTGTGTGGTAGAAAAAACATATATATAAAAAAGTGAGAGCCTCACAAACCTCTCAGGGAAAGGCAAAGCACACACAAGTGTCGTGACAGCCACGACCTCGAGTAAAGGTGCTCTAAAGCAGCTGGTCAGAGGCAGGGCGAAATACCGGTTCAAACTCGCGCCATCGGCACAGGACCTTGGTTGCCTGCGCCTTCAAACTGCGCGCGAACCGTAGCCACGTCACTTCGCCGCCATTGCATCATCCTGAGCGGTCGCCTCTATTCGCCTCTCCGGTTATCGGACTTTCATCGCTGTTATTCATATTCCATCTTCATGCGATGACGCCAGCCTGCTATACAATAGTTAGTTTGACTTTATATCTTATATACTAATCTAAATATTAGCTTTAATCGCCTAGCCGGGATAGCCTCTAGTAGTCACCACTTCTTACTTACCTTAGGTCTTAGTAGTCAATATGGGAGTTAGCACCTTAGGCTCTTAACTGTTCTTAGTAGTACTCTTCCTAATAGTAGTTAGTGTAGTCATAATCAACTTTAGTATTCTTCTTCCTTAACTTGCAATAGGATTTACATATTACAGACTCTTTTCGTGTATTACTTTCTAGTATGTGTTTAACAGTTTTTATGTAGTGTTTATTCAGGCGATATGAAGAAGTATAATATTTAGGTGTATAACAGTCAAGTCTAACATGGTCTACGCCGCGCACACGCCGCCGTCTATCTTTCGCCTAGTCGATCCTTCGTGTCATCTTGGATCTCTTCTAGTTCAATCGGCAGATCGACATCCTTCGCACTACTAGGTATTCGCACGCGCCAGCATGCTCATGCCCTATGGGCTCAGGGAAGCAAGGCCTCTTGTCAACCCGCGGCAGGCATCAAGGACTTCGGTCTTCAAGCATTCTTCGCTGCACGCTTCTTCCCTTTCAGAGGTGTTGTGGGCACCCACCGGAATCCCACGTTTTTTGTGTGTCTCGTCAGGTTCACCGATGCGCTTCTCACTCCACTGACCTGCGGGCACGACAAAAAATTGGTGCATCGGCCACAGCAGATGTAGATTCCAGATTGATGTCTACCGCTGTAGCGATCGATCCCGCTGCGTGCACACGCTTTTAACATGCTCTGTCTCCACGTAGTAGTGTCCTACGGTGCAGGACGTCAGGCATAGCACACTGCGTGGGTAAACGACGATGTAGTCGTCGACCGCGTATCAACGCTAGCTGTCACACGTTGGAACCACACAATCTGTTCACGTGGTTTGGATCCAATGCTATTGTAGAAATCGGTGGCAGAGGTTTCTACAATAATGGCACCTGTTAACTAGGGTAATCTTGCATAAATCCCCAGGCAGCATTGGCTAAACTAATGGCCATACGTGTCCCGGGAGCGTTTGGTCCGCAGACCAGGCGAGAGCTGCAGCTTAAGCGTACTGGGTGTGACAGGCCGGGAGGGCCTCAATCGCAGAGCTAATGTTGGGCCGCGATCGAAGAGGAAGGCCGGCGGGCACCTCGAGCAAGATGCTTCGGTATGGCTTAAACCGCACACTCGCACGTCTGAGTGTTGTCAGTCTTCGCTGCTACGCCAAGTCTTCGCCTATGTCATGCAAGTCGTTTACGTCCCCTAGTTGGTTAGTTCACAAGTACATTGTTGCAGCTTAAGCAGCTGGGTGCTGTCAGTGCTGGGAGGGCCTCAATCGCAGTGCTACTGTTGGGCCGCGATCGAAGAGGAAGGCCAGCGGGCAGTTTGTGAAAAAACTTTAGTAGGCTTAAACCGCACTTCGTACAATTACACTCTTGTAGTTTAGTTAAGCGTTGCATCGTCTGCTTCGCCAACATCGTCCTTATTCGCGTGCCATCAATTGTCATCTTTACCAGTAGTGCATATCACGTCGTATCGCCGTACTCATCGTCTAGCAACATCAAGACGCTATTGGATATCTTACTCAGCTATTTCCAGATCTACTCGGCTACCACGTCATGTCCTCTATTCGTGGACACAAATCAAGACTTTCTAGTGCAGTTGCAGTTCTCACGAAGATGATCTCCTCAGTCGACTCGTCCCATCTTACGGCTTTGGACACAACAACAACTCCGGAAGTTCAACTCCGCGAAATCCTTCGTCGTAAAGGATCAATCTCCGCCGTCAAGTTTGGTATCGAACGCGCCTTGGAGATTCTCAAGGAACGCTATGAGTCACTTCAACTGTACGTTCAAACTCAGGATAACTCAGCCGCGCTCAGCGAACAAGTAGAGCAGCTTTGGAGCGAGCTGCAAGGCGATCAGCAGGAGCAGAACGCGCTAGAAACCATCACTGCGCTGGATACTCAGCTCATGATGGATGAAGCGATAGAAACAGCGCTCCGCTCGCAGCTTAACAACAACATAGCAACCGCTACCGCCGCTCTTACGCTCGCAAGTTCGCCGCCGCGTAACGCTTCTTCCGGTAATCAGTCATTGGACGCTTGCGGTAATCAACGCCTGCATCAATTATCGTTTGCGCCTTCGCCACAACCATCTTCAATTTCAGGTATGCAACCAATTCAGCTTCGCAAGTTGGAGCTACCCGTATTCGATGGCGATCTTACGCAATTCCACGATTTTTGGTGTCGCTTCAAAACCGCTATTCACGACAATGATAGTTTGCCGCTTGCAAGCAAGTTCATTTATCTGTCTAGCGCCCTTAAAGGCAGCGCCGCGCTTATCGTTCAAGGCTTCGATCCATCTAAGCCAGAAAATTACCATCTTGCGATTCAAGCGCTCAAAAAACGATACGATCGTCCGCAATTTACGCATAACCTCTTCCATCATAGGTTAGAACAGTTACCAACATCATCTGTTTCAGCCTCGTCGCAGAGAGATACGCTTTCACAGATTCAGTCATACGTGTTACAGCTCAATAGGTTCGAGGATACTACCACTTCGCTATCTCTCATGAAACTCATCAAGAGCAAGTTCCCTAGAGATACGCAGTTAGAAGTCAACAGGCTCGAACACCGTTCTGGTAAGAAGTGGACGCTTCCCGATCTCTTGGACGGCCTCAACGAGGTCATCGAAGAGTTCGAGAAACTCGACGATTACTCTATCGGTAAATCTACAACATCAGATTTCCATGTAAATCCGGTTTCAGCTTCCGCTTCCAGATCACCTACGCCAGAACCCCAATACGACCCTAACCTTTGTTGCTTCTGTAGTTCACCCAACCATCATTCCACTCGCTGTCATCATCGTATGCCCACTGTGAATCGACGCCTCATTGCCAAGGCTTACAACCTGTGTTGGAAATGTTTACATCAAGGTCACAACAGCAGTAAATGCGGATATCCCAAGTGTCGTCGCTGCTCCGGTAACCATCATCTCATCCTGTGCAACACTCGAGATACTCGTTCGCCACTCAGATCGAAGTACACACGCGATCGTTACCGTACACCATCGTCGGATTCTTCGCGCAGCTACCGTCAGTCTAGAAGTCCATCATACGAACGTTCTCGTTATGCGTCACGTTCGCCGTCTAGACATCATTCAGACCGTAGCTCTTCACCATCATCACGAAGACCAGATGGATATCGAACATCACATCGGTCACGTAGTGTTGACAGCCATGTCCGTTTTCGATCACCAGTTCGCGACAGTACCTCACCTATTCGCACTCACAGGACAAGGGCATCTACCAATACCCACGGACGAGAAACATCAGTCCATTCCGTCGTACATTCCGAGGACGATACCGACCCAGTCGATCAACTCGATTATCGTCAGCTTTCCGTTGTCACGCAATCCGCGTACAGAAGTGCCCTTATGACCGTCGCAGCTTCTCTTGTCCATCCCATCACTGGACAACGTGAACCAGTCATCCTCTTTTTAGATACAGGTTCGCAGACTAGCTTTATAACACGCGCCACGGTCAGCAAGTTCCGCCTCGTCGCTCAAGATCAAGGATTGCTCACTACAGTCGCATTTGGAGCCGTCAAGTCAACCGAACGTTCCGAGAAAGTTCTCGTTTCGCTCGTCGATACGAACAGCAAGCTCCTTCTACTCGACCTCAACACAACGGACAACATCACCACGCCAACGACTCCGCACGATCTGTCACGTGAAGACATGGACATCCTCAGATCGATGAACATCTCGTTGGACTCGCTTACGATTAATCGACGTGTCAATCCAGACATCCTCATTGGGATAGACTACTTTTGGTCCATCGTCACTACGGATCCTCCAGTCCCTTTACCATCAGG